TTTCTGCCTGTTAAAAGGCAGTTTTTCCTTGCCCCCGTCGCCAAGTTCTTGCTCATGGTGGTACTGTTGGGTCTCTGTAAATGTTAAAAGGAGTTCGGTCTAGACCTGCTCTATTTGAAAATAAAATTGAATTGAATTGAATTGAACCTCTTGGAGGGCTATAGACATTTTCTTTAGCTAATGCCTCAATGGTCTTCTTATTGGCAAGTGGGAGGCCCTATAAATTAAACTTATTTTCTAACTTGTTAGTACCTGAAGGAAACCATGATAACTAAGAAACATGCCTGACCTGTCTAACACTAATCATGATTTCAATCAAGTGTAGAATATTTTGTGCAGCCGAGGAAGGTGAAGTCACTATGACACCATCATTTTCTTTCTCAGACATGAAAAAGCTCCTCCAGGAATGCTGTTCTGAAATCATGAAACAAAAGCTCTCATTCTGCCACAGGCTTTGAATAATGCATAAAAATACAACAGAAAATCCAGATTGTTGCTTTGTAATACTCATAACAGTCATAATGAATGCCAATTAGGTTTAGAACACTACTTTGGCGCCATCTGGTGACAGTATCAGTTTTCTTCAAACAAAAACATGTTCCAGTAGAATAAAGACACTACAGTCACATATAAACTCTTTATTACTTATTTAAACTTGTTTAAATTTATTTTGGACAGTGTTTGAACACTTCATGGAAACTGTTGGTTGGTATGCTACATATTTGAATGTTATTATTTCCAAATATGGATTATGAAAAATATACAAGTGTGACCACATGCTCTTTCTTTATATGTTTCTCTCCTCTGCAGTGAACTCTCATATGAGAGTCTGTTCAAATTGATTTAAACTGTGTGGACAATGCAAGAAAAAAATACTTTAAAAACTATTTAAAAAAATCAAAAGTACTTCATAATGTCGACCTGACGAGTGGTTCGTGATTTCTGTTCCAGAGATTGTTCAGGGATGCATCATAGCTAGAAAAGTATGTCAACATGAACTGAAAAAAAAAATTGCAAATTTGAACATCTACAGTTCCATGGCAACTCCATCTGCTGCTGAAGATCTCGTGTGACATGGTCAAAGTTTAAGAACAATTACAAAATGGACCTTTTTTGAAACGATTTATGATATGTTTATATTTTCTGATTAAAGGACCAGTATGTAGGATTTAAAGTCATCTAGCGGTAAAGTTAAAAATTACAACCCCCACGCATTATCCTCCTATTACAAGCATAAAGGAGAAACTACGGTGGCCAGGAAACTCACGGAAAATGTGAAAGTCTCTGGGCTACTGTAGAAACATGGCGGACTCCACCAGAAGAGGACTCGCTCCCTCTGTAAATGAAGATAAAAGCGGTTCATTTTAAGGTAACAAAAACACAATGATTCGCTAATTATACTAATAAAACCATACCTATGGTAAGTCAGAAATGAAAAAAAATTGTTTTATTTTGTGTAAACACTGCACACCTAAGGTTATATGTATGAGGGCAAGCATAGGACCAGCATGCACCTGGGTGGGCTTTTTTTTTTTTTTACCAGAGCAGTTTTGTTTAAGTTTGATTAGATTTTTTGGCAAATGGCAACTACATTTACTAACCTGTATATACTGTACATATATTTTACACTTGCGTTGCCAATGTAAACGTATATTTCCCATGCCAACAAAGCCCCATTGAATGGAAGTGAATTAATTTACTAAGTTATATATTGGAGTAATGGAGGCAGAGACCAGACAATGGCTGTTTGACCAGGGCTTATAGAACAGACCTAACAAAGGACATGAACAATGAATGGCATAATTAACTCCACAAGATGGCGGCAATGCGACAACAAGAATGCTAGCTACCGCAAAGCCTGGAAGAAGAAGTAAAAACATTTGATGACGTCGATATACTGCGCCGCGGAAGCTAGCATCCTAGCTAGCCACGTTAGCTCACATTTTGAAAGGAGACGGCTGACAACTTCACACCTCATGTTGGAGGCCGTTTTATCCCGTTAGATGGTCCAGCGACCGCCCCGGTGCGAAGTAGTTGTTTGGTTAGCTCTCAACCGGCAGTCGCCATGGCAGTGGAGGAGGATTTATCACCGACCCTTCTGACAGAGGAGATGAAACACAGCAATGGCGACTTCGTACCCCCAGAAGGTTTATGCTGGGTGTCGGTGCTGTCGTGTCTGCTGCTGGCTTGTTCTTATGTCGGCAGTTTGTACGTGTGGAGGAGCGACCTGCCGAGGTGAGCCACAGATAAAAAAGTGATACACACACTCCCTTTTAGCACTAACGTTATATGCTTGTGTTGCTCTTAACTACGGGATTCCGCTGTACTACGTTCACTCCGACATTATTTACCTATCTATAAGTATGTGATTGGACACTCAACGTGCTTTTACATTAACAGCTGCGTAGTTATTTTATAAAAAAAAAAAAAAAAACCTCTTTCACGTTCACTATATCCCTGACAGTTAGCAACATGAGACAGATCATCTGTGAAACAATCAGGTTCCTTCTGGTCTTCCTAGTGACTCCTAATGGGATTTACAAGAATCCACCGGGCCTGAATGAAAACAGCAACCAATCAGAGCTGAGAAAGATAGAACGATGCTTTGGGTTTATTGGAGGCTTGAAGGTAGTTGATTTTTGAGTCTTATTCCCGGCATCGATATTTGACATCCTGAGAATGAGAATGAGACTTAACAATCAACTATCTTATTTGGGTTTTACTTTGGTTTTTTGTTGTTTTTTTTTTTTTTATCAACAAACACCCTGCACACAGTGCTGGTACAGGAAAAGTCACTGAAACATAATGAGGAGCAGTTGATTTTCTGCCCCATTGTTTGAGCCTCACTTTGGTACTTTTGTACTGTATAATTTAAAACACGTGGTATTGTAGAAGTATCCACGTATCAATACTTTGGACTCCCTTTGCCTTTAAGTGGTTCCTGCTCAGCTGGCTGTGGCAGCTTGAACTGTGTCCTCTGTGCTGTTGATGATGGTGGTTTTCTTGTCTCCACTGTACTCCTCAGGGATCACCCCACTGTGATAAAGAGACGATTCACCAGTGTGCTCATCGTGTCGGGCCTGTCGCCTCTCTTTGTGTGGGCATGGAGAGAATTCACAGGCGTCAGGGTGAGTCCGCATCTCAGAAACCACTGACCACCATTCTGTTTGAACACCTGAGGATTGCATTCATTCATTAATGTGCTGCTGTTGTCTGACACATTTGTCTGTGTGTTTGTGTGTGTGTGTGTGTGTGTGTGTGTCAGACTGGGCCATCGTTACTAGCTCTCATGGGGATGCGATTTGAAGGCCTCATTCCTGCCATCATACTTCCTCTGCTGCTCACCATGGTATGACACACACATAGTGGCGAGCCACTGGCTGGGTTGAAGTCTGGGTTGGAAAATAAAAAAATGTTAAAACATTATTTAATCTATAGATCATTGAAAAAAACATCATCTAAAAGTGGATACATAGTCAAAGTAGCAAAAGGTAACAGTTAAATTGTGGAAATTAGCTAAATGATGTAAATAAACACAGGCAGTTGAACTGTATACAGTACATATAGTAATTCATGAAGTGATAAAACCCCTCTCAGTCAAACCCAACCCCCTGGTGAACACACAACCTGTTTTGTGTGTGTGGTCCCGTGCTGCAGGTCCTGTTTCTGGGCCCCCTCATGCAGCTGGCTATGGACTGTCCCTGGAGCTTCATGGATGGGATCCGGGTCGCCTTTGGTGAGACAGCCAACATGCTGTCTTTTATCCTCTTTGATTTTTTTTTTCTCATGACATTTAGGGCCGTTAGAATTTTCGGTACAATTTGACAGTCACATTTCTTATATATTTGCAGAAAATACACTCATTCTGTGATGAAGTGCCTGATGCTATAACCTGTGTCTTCCTGCAGACCCCTGGTTCTGGATGTTGTGTTTCAGCGACATGCGCTGGCTGAGGAATCAGGTGGTGGCACCGTTAACAGAGGAGCTGGTGTTCAGGGCCTGCATGCTGCCCATGTTGGTCCCCTGTGCTGGTCCTTCCACTGCCATCTTCACCTGCCCCCTCTTCTTTGGAGTGGGTGAGTTCTGCAGATGTTTCCTTCCAGCTGTTTTCAGATTCTTGTTCTACACTTTTGGATCTTTGGATGCATTTTTCTCACTGTTCCAGGCTGCAAATTAATGAAGGCTTGGTCTGCAGTCAGCGTTCCAGTTTATCCCAAAGGTGTTGGATGGAATCGAGGCTGACCATTTCTTTATGGATCTGGCTTTATGCTGAAATAGGAAAGGGGCAGTGTAGACTTTTCAAATGAATCTGCACAAGGGGATGATGCATTTTTTTATTAGAAGTGAAATTGCACCTCAGAAGAACATATTATCTAAAAGAGCACTAATATTCCTAGTTTTTATAATTTTGCGTTTTATTTTTAATCTAAGTAGCAGTCTTAAAGACATGGTTTGGACACATTTCACACATTGTCGTCTCTCTTCCAGCTCACTTCCACCATGTGATCGAGCTGCTGAGGTTCAGACAGGGCACGCTGTCAGGGATCTTCCTCTCTGCTGGTGAGAGCTGGTCTAATGATATTCACGGACTACTTTTACATCCATAAAACATTCTGCTTTTTTCCATTTACATGTAGCTGTGCATATTGTTTAAACTAGCTGTTAATGACCAATGTCCTAAGGATGATCCTAATACCTGAATAATATCAGTATATTCCATGTCTTAATCTGAAAATGCTCCATTCAGAATAAGACCTAATTAGTAATATCCAAATGCAGTTTACATGACACTTATCAAATGTGGGCTATTGTCATATTCTGTATAACAGTGGAAAATAAGACATATTCAGTGTGACTGTCTTACACTGTCAGTGTTGAAGGTACAATAGCAGAAAGATTGAGGATCCATATTTCTTTGGTCTACAACAGTGTTCCAGTTCTCCTACACTGCAGTGTTTGGGGCCTACACTGCCTTCATCTTCATCAGAACAGGTGAGGAGTTTTCATTGACATTATACATCATGGGTGTAGACAATTTTGAGACATGAAATATTTCATTAACCCAGTCAACATCTATTTCAATGTTTTGAATTGATTATTGGTCATTTCTTTAATTTCCTTTAAAAAATGTAAATATTAAATTGCAGCTCATTGGCCATATTTCTTCTTGTATAGAGGAACCATATTGAAACTGGGCCGAAATAATCTAATTTTTGGTGGTTTTTGATCCATAACATGAAATGTTACTTGTGGCGTAAATGTATGTATTCTTTGGGTCTCGCACATGGGTGTGGCAAAATGGCTTGACAGCCATTAAAAAACAGCCCCAATGTTTAAAGTTTTTGCCGATTTGCACGTGTTGTATTAATTAAACGTTATCAAAATCTTGAGTTTTCATTGATGGGCGTGCCCATGACATGACCCCAAATTTCAATCTTTTACCAAGAAACAAGAAGTTGTTGTTAATTATCCAAGAACTTTTTCCAATCCGCACCAAAATGCTTGATAAGATTCCCGCCCTGCAGCTACCCATCTACATGCAATATTCAATGAGAGCGCCTCCTACTGGCAAAAGGAAATTACATGTTTTAGACTTTTATGTACTACTCCTAGCAGATTGACTAGATGTAAAGGCACTTTGAGTGGTCGGAAGACTAGAAAGGCGCTGTACAGGTCCATTTACCAGGTTATATTAAATACTTATTTAACTCTGGTCCTAAATAGTAAAACTTTACATTAGATATTGATCTTGCGCATTAGTCTGGCAAAATGGCTCAATAGCGCCTCCTACATATTTTCAAAAAAGCACTCCCAGCGTCCTGTATCATCAAGATATATGAAAATTGGTAGGCGCATGTATCACCTCCAGACATACAGAAAACCCTCTTGGACCTATACACCAAACCCAGCAGGAAGTTGGCCATTTTGAATGTGCAATTCTAGCCGCTTTTTGATCAGTACACCTTATGAATGTTATCAAAAGCTTATTTACGGATACAGAAAATCTATTTCCTACTTTAAGCTTACTCCATTAATTAGGCAAAGAAAAGTAGTCTACTGAGCCAAACATCGTGTACCAAATGGTTCGGGAGTCCCTGTACCCTTACACCCCTCCAGTGTTAACATGCCCTCCTCCCGTGTGCTGCAGGTCACCTGATGGGTCCGGTGCTCTGCCATTCCTTCTGCAACTACATGGGTTTCCCTGCCATCAGCGCGGCGCTGGAGCATCCCCACCGCCTCACCGTCCTTTCCTCCTACCTGCTGGGGGTCCTCCTCTTCCTCCTCTTCCTCTTCCCCTTCACTGACCCCTCCTACTATGGCCTCCCCACACCGGTGTGCACCCTCACCTCCTCCCCCAGCTCTATCTGCCTCTCCTGATCCCAGCCCTCAACACACTTCGATTGACGAAGCAGTTGAGGGTGATTTTTATTTTGCCAAGTTAAAAGTTCAGGTCAGGTCCGGTTTGGGCCGACAGCGCTAACAGCCGTGCGGGCTAAGTTGCCATGGAGATGAGGGGAAATCTGTAGCCATTTTCTATGGTCTATAGACCCTTGATATGTCGGTGCATTTACATGACACACTTTAGTTAATCAGCTGATGCTCTTAATTCTGAGTGACTCATTTTGAGTAGACAGGGTTGCTGGGAATGAACCCAAGACACCCATTCCAGGACAGCCTCTGTAGTCTACGCTGCCACCCTGATAGGTGGTTTTAGTGTAGTTAAACGCTGAAGAACAATTCCTCCTCAGATCCTATTGATAGATCTCATCAATTTGTGATGAAGCGTCAAAATGTACCTTTTTGGTGTACAAATTTTCCACTCAGCCTGCCTCATCTCTTTTAATGAATATGTCTGGTTATTACAACATAGGTCTTATTTTTGTAATTCTGGCAGTCATTTCTCTAAGTAATGATAAAATAACCACATTACTTGTAAGTCAAGTTGGACAGGTTAGTCCAGCTTATTTGGAAGAGAAAACATGAGGGCAACAGTCAAATCATTACACAAACTGTTCCATCGTAAGCATCAATCCACTTCCTGGTTTGTTCTCACTTTCACTTTGACCTCCACTAAAGTCATTTAGATGATATGTTATTAGTTTATTCACAACCTGTCTAATCATTCGACTGCTTGTTTGGCTAAAACTATGAAAATAAGACCCAAGTTGTTGAGTATATTAGTCTAGTATTTTGGCTCGGGTTGGGTGCATTTTGTTGCTTTGGGGCTTGGGTTCAGGTTAAATTACATAAATTGGATTTTAAAGCTGCAGTTTATAAAAATAATTTTTGTCATATTGCGAAACTTTCACATATATCCTGACAGTAGTACAATGAGCAGATAATTGTGAAAAAATCAGGTTCCTCTGACTCTCCTAGTGCTCCTTAATGGCATTTGAATCCATCAGGCCTGAATGAAAACAACCAATCAGAGGAAGATAGTTAATTGTAGAGTCTCATTCTCAGGTTGTCAAATATCAATGCTGGGAATGAGACTCAACAATCAACTACCTTCAAGCCTCCAACCCAAAATATCTTTCCATCTTTCTCTGCTGTGATTGGTTGTTTTCATTGTGGCCCGGTGGATTCTTGCTTAGTGCCTAGGAGCACGGGCCAGAAGAACCTGATTTTTCAGGTACCTGAGTAATCTGTCTCATGTGCTACTGTCAGGATATAGTAAAAGTTTAACAAATATGAAGCAAAGTTATTTTCGCAAAAGTGACCTACTGCAGCTTTAAGTGCTAGTTGGATTCATTTTTATATAAAAGAAGCAGGCTAGTTTGGTGTCCAATTTTTGCTTATTACAGTTGTAATAAAATAATAATAAAACAGAATAATCTGGTAAGACTTTATTTGAATAGTCTGCCAACGAGTATTTGTAACATTTCAGCAGCTTATTAGTTGAGATTCAACAAATAAAACCATTTTCTGATACTGGTCAGGTTTAGGCACAAAAACATCTTGGTATGTTCATGAGTTGTCACATATACTCTATAGATAATCAGACAAAGCAAAACAATAGAATTGTTCCAAATACTCTATAAGCTGTTGGCGGACTGTTCAAATAAAATGATCCTTTAACGCCTTTGAGCATCACCTGAGTGAGACACGTGGGTTGCTGGGTGAAGACGGTGAGAGTCACAACCCTTACTGAAAACGTTTGCTGCACTGCATTCTGGTCTTTAGAGGCTCATAGAGACGTTGCCATCTTTGCCTCTTTCGTCTGAGGTTGCTAAACTGTAGCTGCAGAGGAATGTTGGTGTTTTAGAGTGTAAAATGGTCTTGGGAATGCCATCTACATTATCTACAGTTGTTTTTAATGTTATGGGCTTGTTTTTAACAGTTGAGCTTTGTTTGACTCTGCTGTTGTAGAGAACAATTCTGCTGGAATAGGTCAGTGTTTTTTTGTACGATATATTAATGCTTATTTCTATACCTCTGCATGTGTCAGTGCTGGTAGCTTTGTTGGTGATAGGATAGCTTAGGGGGTGGCGGGGCAGTCACTGTTCATAAAGCCTAAAACATACTCTCTGTAAGTGCACAAATGATGGGTTGTACATACTAAGTAAGAGTAAGAGTAAGGTGTACTCTGATGTCCTTTTGCTAACTGGGCTGCAATGACAGAAAAAATGAAAACTGTTGAAGAATGCAATTCCATCCATGTTTTTCTCGTAGCACCTGTCGTTGTGACTTTAGAATTATGTTAGGGGTCAGATCACACCAGCATTTCTACAAAAGGAGCTCTTCTTGCTGGCAGGAAGTCACCATCTTGTGCAATGTATTTGCCTATGCAAACCAGCGATCGTAGGGTGTGCTTGTCTGGTGTCCATGGGCAAGTTTGCATCGGTTGGTGTCTGTATAGTATAATATAGTATAGTGTTGGGCAATACATACAAATTTTCCAACTGGCCCCCGTCATCCCATAAACCGCCGATTGCTGATATATTCGTGAATGTTTCAGCTAGGAGAGTAGCAGTAAATTTGCTACGTGTTCAAGGCTGTCATAGCTTCAACAAACAGAATAAAAACACAAAATGTCAAGAAAGGAAATATTCTAACACATATTTCCTGTATTTAACAGAAAAATACAACCGTACACCTTCTGAATTAAAGTTTCTCTCTTTTACCGAACTTAGACTAGCTTAACTGCCTTGTAAAAGGACCACTGTGTAGGATTGGCATCTAACGGTGAAGATGCAGATTGAAACCAACTGAACACTGCTTGCCTTCCAAACGTGTAGGAGAACCTATGGTGGCAGCAAAACTTGTGAAAAATGCAAAAAGCCCTATCTAGAGCCAGTGTTTGCCTTTTCTATTTAGGGCTACTGTACGAATATGGTGGTTCATCATGGCAGACTCTGCCATAAGAGGACCTGCTCCCTCTGTAGATAAAAACAGCTCATTATAAGCTAACGAAAACACAACAATTCTTATTTTCGGGTGATTATACACTAATGCAAACATACCTATGAATATTATGAATAGATCCTCCTAAATGTTACACATTGGACCTTTAACTCATCATAAAACACACTTAAAACACACTAAACCAGAGAGAAACATAATGAAACTGTTCCAACAGTCACCAGCTCTGGTGCCACCTAACCTCTCTTGTCCTCTGTTGTCCTTCAAGTCCTGGATGGAGCCGCTTTTAGTCACCTCAGTACTGTATTCCCTGTTGTAAAACTGGCCAATATGAACCCGGAAAAGAGTTATATGTGAAAACATACAGCTGTTTTCCTTCTCACTCATAAAATGACAGAAATTGCCCAAAAAAGAACCACATACAGACATTGCAGATATATTCATCCAATCGCCCAACCCTAGTATAATCCAAACCCTTTTACAGTACATATTGTCTAATACCGCAGCTCCTGTATTTGAGTGTGCTTAGCCTGAAGCATTTGTGCCCTTACACAGAGTATGTTTGGGTCTTAAAGCTAAAGATTGTTGTATGTTGTCAACCTCCAGTTGGATTTTCTAGGATCTTTACTTTGATGTTTTAAAACAGCCTCCAAGCCTTGTTTTCACAAGATCAAGTTAGTGTTTCCACTCAATATAGGCGCTTACAATCTCTAAACCAGTCACTATTAAAATTTGGTTCTATGATTTCTTAGGGTTCTCTTACACAGCGTATCTGTAGATATTATAAACTGTGGAGGGATTTCTGGAACATTTACCTTCAGACAGTTGCTTGCACTAGACCTCTGCGCAATCTTTCAATATTATTTTTCTCAAGAGGACACATCAGGGTGTATCACTGAGTTTTTCTTTCTTTGAAAAATGTTATTTCATTTTGCTCAGAGGACTGATTGGCACAGCCAGCGTCCTTGCTGTGAATCGACTGAACTGCAGAACTAGACTATCTTTTTTTCCCCCGTTGGACTGGCCGATTGACTAGTTATTTACAACTAATGGTCGGCGATATTCGATGTGCTTCTGAGAGTGACAGGAAGAATTGCAGAAACACTATAAGCTATACTCGTACTGTGAAGAAGAAAAAGAAGTGGGCTGCTTGGGTCTTCAGCAATAAAATTCTATTTGTTGGAACGTTTTTGATCCATTTTATGTGACTGAGCAAGTACAGCAGTAGATTCTGTGGATAAAAAGGTGCTGTGTATGTGTACTGTATTATTTTGTGCAGTTACATTTTTCATGGCGGGTATTTTTTTAAGTTTTCAAACCTTTGGCAAGTAGTGAACTTGGACAAGTAGTTATTGTGATAGGAGTTACCTAAAGCTCCCAGCAGAGGGCGTCAGAGCGCTTTGTTAGAGGACTGTTAGAGTGAGGGGAACTGAGGACCTCTCCATTCTGTTTATCAGCCTCTCTGACATCAGTCATTAGTCACTGGAAAACCAATTCACTCTAACTTATTTTTTCTTTAGCTTTTACCCAATTATGCCCCAATAGAGGAGAGTGATGCAGAGCAGAGGGACCCCATGGAGAGACTCTCACTGATGCTGAATCCCTGTTAAAAAGTTTCAGTTCCTCCTGCCTCCCACATCGTTCTCTTGGAGCCTTTCCACTCGCTGCCTGTAAATCATCTACTATAGATTAGATTTGTTTCCTTCTTTTGCAACCAGGCTTGATAAAGCTGTACAGCAATAACCCACGTCCCAGTCTGAGTGTGGTATAGTTCATTTATTTTTCAAAATACAGGGTTACAGTTAGGGTTATAATTAAATTACACTGTACATGATGTTACCTGATTTCTAAACTCATTTCAAGCTGCAGTAGGTAACTTTTATATGCGTATTTTTTTGTCATATTTGCTGAAACTTTCACTATATCCTGACAGTAAAACATGAGACAGATAATCTGTGAA